AACCCTTGTTGGCAATCACAGAGGTCAGACGTTTCTTGTAGTTGGCCACCAGGTTTGCACACATCTCAGGAGGGATTTTGTCCCACTCGTCTTTGCAGATCTTCTCCAAGTCATTAAGGTTTCGAGGCTGACGTTTGGCAACTCGAACCTTCAGCTCCCTCCACAGATTTTCTATGGGATTAAGGTCTGGAGACTGGCTAGGCCACTCCAAGACCTTAATGTGCTTCTTCTTGAGCCACTCCTTTGTTGCCTTGGCCGTGTGTTTTGGGTCATTGTCATGCTGGAATACCCATCCACGACCCATTTTCAATGCCCTGGCTGAGGGAAGGAGGTTCTCACCCAAGATTTGCTGATTTTGTACGTTTGCCCACTGATCAGTCTATAATTTTAATGGTAGGTTTATTTGAACAGTGAGAGACAGAATAACAACAAAAAAATGTCAAAAATGTTAGAAATTGATTTGCATTTTAATGAGGGAAATAAGTATTTGACCCCCTCTCAATCAGAAATATTTCTGGCTCCCAGGTGTCTTTTATACAGGTAACGAGCTGAGATTAGGAGCACACTCTTAAAGGGAGTGCTCCTAATCTCAGTTTGTTACCTGTATAAAAGACACCTGTCCACAGAAGCAATCAATCAATCAGATTCCAAACTCTCCACCATGGCCAAGACCAAAGTGCTCTCCAAGGATGTCAGGGACAAGATTGTAGACCTACACAAGGCTGGAATGGGCTACAAGACCATCGCCAAGCAGCTTGGTGAGAAGGTGACGACAGTTGGTGCGATTATTCGCAAATGGAAGAAACACAAAAGAACTGTCAATCTCCCTCGGCCTGGGGCTCCATGCAAGATCTCACCTTGTGGAGTTGCAATGATCATGAGAACGGTGAGGAATCAGCCCAGAACTACACGGGAGGATCTTGTCAATGCTCAAGGCAGCTGGGACCATAGTCACAAAGAAAACAATTGGTAACACACTACGCTGTGAAGGACTGAAATCCTGCAGTGCCCGCAAGATCCCCCTGCTCAAGAAAGCCACATAGTACAGGCCCGTCTGAAGTTTGCCAATGAAAATCTGAATGATTCAGAGGAGGGCGGGAGAACTGTGTGGGTGAAAGTGCCAATCACCACTCTGCTCAAACATGGAGGTGAAACGATGCTTTGGGGGGTTTCTGGCTAATGGGCTAGAAACTTGAAAACCGCATAAAGGGGCGATGGACGGTGCCTGGAATTCGTCAAATCTTGTGGAACCTCCTTTCCCTAGCAAGGGTCATTAGAAAATGTCGTGATGGTTATTCCAGACATGAAATCCACACACAGCCAAGCACAGGGGGTGTAACAGAAGCACATAGTTTTCCGAGGCCACCATCTCAGACCTAATCCCAAAAGATCTGGAGGGCTAACAAAGTTCGCCTGCAACGTCTCGTAACCTTATACTTGAAAGTCACGCAAGGAAGTGTGACAATCTCTAACTCCTTCTAATGTGCAACATGGTGCCTACAATGATTCTGAAACTTGATTTCCAATCAGGTTTTGCCACCAATTATAATTCCAAGTTTACGATGGGGGTAACAACTATTGTCCTATTAAAATGGAAACGAGTTTATAACATTTTGTAGGCTCAAACTCGCCGTGTTTGGAGGAGGAGCCAGTGGAATGTCGTTAGTAAAGATTGAAAAAAGTAAGGGGCCTAGACAGCTGCCCTGGGAATTCCTGATTCTACCTGGATTTTGTTGGAGAAGCTTCAATTAAAGAACAACCTCTGTGTTCTGTTAGACAGGTAACTCTTTATCCACAATATACAGTAGCAGGGGGTGTAAAGCCATAACACATATGTTTTTCCAGCAACAGACTATGATCGATAATGTCAAAAGCCGCACTGAAGTCTAACAAAACAGCCCCCACAATCTTTTTATCATTAATTTCTCTCTGCCAATCATCAGTCATTTGTGTAAGTGCTGTGCTTGTTGAAACTCCTTCCCTAAAAGTGTGCTGAAAGTCTGCTGTCAATTTGTTTACTGTAAAATAGCATTTTATCTGGTCAAACACAATTTTTTCCAAATGTTTACTATGGGTTGGTAACAAGCTGATTGGTTGGCTATTTGAGCCAGTTAAGGGGGCTTTACTATTCTTAGGTAGGGGAATAACTTTTGCTTCCCTCCAGGCCTGAGGGCACACACCTTCTAGTAGGCTTAAATTGAAGATATGGCAAATAGGAATGGCAATATCGTCCGCTATTATCCTCCGTAATTTTCCATCCAAGTTGTCAGACCCCGGTGGCTTGTCATTGTTGATCGACAGTAATACTTTTTTCACCTCTTCCACACTTACTTTACAGAATTCAAAATTACAATGCTTGTCTTTCATAATTTGGTCTGATATTCACTACTACTTGGATGTGTAGTGTCAATGTTTGTTGCTGGCATGTCATGCCTAAGTTTGTTAATCTTGCCAATGAAAAGATAATTAAAGTAGTTGGCAGTATCAATGGGTTTTGTGATGAATGAGCCATCTGATTCAATGAATGATGGAGCGGTGTTTGCCTTTTTGCCCAAAGCTTTTTACCATCAATCTTTATGTCATTTAGCTTTGTTTCATAGTGTAGTTTATTTTTTTTTAATTCAGTTTAGTCACATGATTTCTCAATTTGCAATACATTTGCCAATTGGTTGTGCAGCCAGACCTATTTGCCATCTCTTTTGCCTCATCCCTCTCAAACATACAATTTTTCAATTCCTCATCCATCCACGGGGATTTAACAGTTTTTAAAGTCATTTTCTTAATGGGTGCATGCTTATTAGTAACTGGGATAATAAAAGTCGTATTCCTATTAACTTCCAGTGTAGTGAGAGCGACTTTATCACGGTGCTACGTCATACCGGACGGATTTCTGCCTGCTTGAATGCCAATAACTCAGTTACACATGAACACATGAAATGACCCAGGGAATCAATAGAACATCACTCACAGATGCACAAAAACAATATATAATTCAAAATAGGTGAACCTTTCCTTTAATATAATCAAACTTGATTTGCTAGATTGCAAGAATGTTTTCTGTGTAGTATGAATTGAATGTTCCTGAATGGGAAACTATATTTTTGTAATGGATCTATTGTTATTTGCTCTTATTCAGTTTGTTGGTCTAGTACTTAGTGACTTAGTGATTAGCATAATGGTTATATTTTCTATCCAATGCTTCCATTGTATTCCATGTGTTCCAATTGAGGGCCTCACATTACATACCCACAGTGAAGGCATTGTATTGCCCCAGTGACTTTACACACAGACACACAGTCATGCAATGCAACAGTTTATTGACGGAACAACATTGCTGTTATCTATCAAAGTGTTATGATTTGTACTAATAAGTGTGAATGATCGTATACACAGTATCTCTCAGAACAAAGAAGACACATCAAGTATGAATTAATCCAATACAGTACAACTTTACAAGCTTAACTCTCCCTAGGTCATTGATGTGTCCCAAACAGCACCCTATTCCCTACGTAGTGCACTACTTTTGAGCAGAGTTCATATAGTCTCGAAAACCTGACCCTAGGGTCGGGTTTTCGAGATGAGAGCTCATAGGGCTCTGGTCAAAAGTTGTGCACTACATAGGGTATAGGGTGCCATTGGGCCCTGGTCAAAGTAATCAGTGTTGGGGAAAAATGAACTACATGTAGTTCAATTTGTAAAATAAACTACATTTTGCAGTAGCTTGGTAAAAAACAAAATACAATCTTGGTAATGTTTTTAGTAGGTAATTACTTTTTTGCCATGTAGCGGTGAAGATAACTACTGGAACTACCAAGATTTTTTTGCAAAAATCAAATAATATACGGGTGAAGTAGGCAAGAATTTCCTTTCTTTTTCGGCCTCAGACCTGCCTCATTCTCACTTCAAACATCATTTTTGTGTTTAAAACAGACAAATGACAAAATTCTGTTAATAAGAGTGATCTGTTCTTGCACTTTTGTATTCTTTGACATTTCAGATTTAGAAAGGATAATTTTTCATGAAGTAGTTTGGATGTAGTGAACTACTTTTTCAACGTAACTTTAATTAAGTAAACTACATTTTTATTAAGGGTAGCTTTAGCGTAGCTTAACTTCTTCCAGTGTGAAGAAATTGGTAGCTTGGTAAACTATATTTTCAGAGTAGCTTCCCCAAAACTGAAAGTAATGCACTATGTAGGGAATAGGGTGCCATTCAATAGGTCACCAGGAAACTGAAGTCAATGACATAGGTTAGTATTGATTGGAGTATTGATTGAGCAACACAGAGATAGAAAGCACTATTTATAGAGGATCCCTAATACCATATCCAGAAATGCTGAGGGAAGAGGAAAGGCTTCCCTTGATACAGACTTCTCTCTGGGTAGCTCTGGTCAAGGGCGTAAGTGTGTGATCCTTAGTGAAGGAACATGCTCTAAAGACCTGGACCAGAGCTACTCTGGAAAATAAAAACCCAAGGTTGCATTCCTTCTCTTCCTCCTCTTCCCATGCCGGATGTTAACGGTTGCTTAAAGTTTGTGCTTAAAAGTTGCCCTTGGCAGGTTGACAGGCAGTCAGAGGGAGTGAAGAAAACCTCCCTGACTCCCTTTCGCTTTAAGATACAATATAGATGAATTAGTTTGGCATGGCCTTGTATAAATAAGACAGGGTTTCCAAGATTCCAGTACACACCCAGCCTGTCTAGTGAAAGTGTAATCTAGTAATATCCCAGTAATTATCACCTAACTGACTGTTGACAAATTAACAAGCGTTCCCGAAAAAAAACCCACATCAAAAGTAATCCTCTCAGATGCCAAACACGTTGCAAAATTTGTAAATGTAATAATTGCACTACAAATGCAAAAAATGTCCGGATAAATACATGTAGGTAGAGGTGAGAAGTGGGCATCGATGAATGAAGGCTAGTACTAGGCTACTTCACTACAACTGTCAATCAGCAGTCTCTGCGTCATCCCTTTTCTCATGCAACCGCTGGAAACAGTATAGCAGTATTACCAAATGCAGTGATATTGCCCAATAGCAAGTGGAGGAGAAGAGGAATGGGGATGGGCTGTCTCCTAATGCTTTATAAACGCCCGGATACATCTTCCGTCAGATGCACGTAGCGAGAAAATATAACCAACCATTTGTTAGTGAATACATTTTACTGAGGCGATTTGCAAACAATTTAAAGTGTTTAACTACTTTGTGTGGGTGTTCAACAGTGGACAATCAAACTTAACAGGTAAGTGTTTTTTCATCGATCTCTGGATATTACGTCGCAATTTAATTGACCTAAATGCAGGTCATTTAAACTTTCCAGATGTTAGTGGCAGTGTAGCTACTGCGTCAAACCAGCATGTGCACGCACCACGAGCTCCATTATGCCAAACAGGAAATTTGTTGTTAACAATTTCAACAGTTTAAAAAAAAACTTTTTTTGTTGTAATTTTACGCCTTTTTTTCTCCCCATTTTCGTGATATCCAATTGCGATCTTGTCTCATCGCTGCAACTCCCCTGCGTTTGTGTATTAGTGTGTAGTGATGGGAAACCGAGGCTTTCTGAAGCCTTTGGGACTTCCACCAAAATGTGCCGGAAAACTGTTTATTACTCGGAGCTTTTAACACAATGCACATTAGTGATATCTGCTGGCCAGCAATGAAAAGCAGCGTTTGATGTTCATATATAAATATTTTCCATAAAATTCATCAAATCACTGTGGCGTAGTGGTTAGTCTTGGGTTTTAGTAGTCTATTATCAGTTACTGTTACAGGTTTTCACCTTCTGTCATGCTTCACTTTTTTGCTGTGAATCCTTTTTTTCTTTCTGTAAAACTGTGAATCATTATTTAAGCTAGAAGCCTATACTTTATTAAATAAAATGAATTGTTTTAACAACAATGTTAATGCCAAAATAATCCATCCACCTGACAGGTGTGCCATATCAAGACGCTGATTAAACAGCATGATCATTATACAGGTGCACCTTGTGCTGGGCACAATAAAAGGCCACTCTAAAATGTGCAGTTTTGTCACACAACAATGCCACAGATGTATCAAGTTGAGGGAGCATGCAATTGGCATGCTGACTGCAGGAATGTCCACCAGAGTTGTTGCCAGAGAATGTAATGTTCATTTCTCTACCAAAGCCCCCTCCAAAGCCGTTTTAGAGAATTTGACAGTACGTCCAACTGGATTCATAACAGCAGACCACGTGTAACCACGCCAGCCCAGGACCTCCATATCTGGCTTCTAAACTTGTAGGATCATCTGAGACCAGCCACCCGGACAGCTGATGAAACTGTGGGTTTGCACAACTGAAGAATTTCTGCACAAACTGTCAAAAACTGTCTCGGGGAAGCTCATCTGTGTGCTTGTCGTCCTCACCAGGGTCTTGACCTGACTGCAGTTTGGCGTCAGTGGGCAAATGCTCACCTTCGATGGCCACTGGCACGCTGGAGAAGTATGCTCTTCACGGATTAATCCCGGTTTCAACTGTACCGAGCAGATTGCAGACCGCATGTATGGCTTTGTGTGGGTGAGCGGTTTGCTGATGTCAACGTTGTGAATGGCGTGGTGATGATGCCATGGTGGCGGTGGGGTTATGGTATAGGCAGGCATAAGCTAAGGACAACGAAGTTAATCACATTTTATCTATGTTCATTTGAATGCACAGGGATACCGTGACGAGATCCTGAGGCCCATTGTTGTGCCATTCAGCCTCCGCCACCACCTCATGTTCATCGAGAGCATCCTGATCGATTGCATCACCGCCTGGTATGGCAACTGCTCGGCATCTGACCATAAGGCGCTACAGAGGATAGTGCGTATTGCCCAGTACATCACTGGGGCCAAGCTTCCTGCCATCCAGGACCTATATACTAGGCGGTGTCAGAGGAAGGCCCCAAAAGAATTCTAAGACTCCAGTCATAGAATGTTCTCTCTGCTACCGCACGGGTAGCAGTACTGGAGCGCCAAGTCTAGGTCCAAAAGGTTCCTTAACAGCTTCTATCCCCAAGCCATAAAACTGCTGAACAATTAATCAAATGGCCACCTGTGATAATGTTACTTTGAAACGAGCATCGGTACATTTGGTCGGATCCGTAGTGCTTTGAAAACCGCATCGGAGCTCCGGTATCAATCGTCCCATCACTAGTTCTTGACATGGTTTCTTTCGTGAATGATTTGATTTATTTCTAGAGAAACGGCGCGTTGGGCTCACAAAAGAAACAAACTAAATGGAATTAAAGTAATTTGAACTGACTCTGTCAAAAAAAAAATAAAAATTTTTTTTATTGGTTAATCGCTCAGCACTAATTAGGAAGCAATAGGCCTACATGTATATAATATTTCCAGGTCTCATCCCAGTGTTTAAAGATATTATTGGAAAATAGATATATCAATGCATAGGATGATGTTTTGATAATATGCTTAGCAGATATCTCAAATGAAGGTAGTTAAGTCAAAAGTAGTAAGCTAGGCCTACACCATAACCCTCTAGCCCAAAGGCCAGCAGATGGCGCTTTTTAGTCATTTCCATCTTACTGTCCAAACGCATTGTAAATCAAATCAAATTGTATTGGTCACATACACATATTTAGCAGATGTTATTACGGGTGTAGCGAAATGCTTGTTTTCCTAGCTCCAACAGTGCAGTAGTATCTAACAATTCACAACAATAAACACAAATCTAAAGTAAAATAATATATAAATATTAGGATGAGCAATGTCGGAGTGGCATTGACTAAAATACAGTAGAATAAATACAGTATATACATATGAAATGAGTAAAGCATTATGTAAACATTATTAAAGGGACTGGTGTTCCATTATTAAAGTGACCAGTGATTCCATGTCTATGTATATAGGGCAGCAGCCTCCAAGGTGCAGGGTTGAGTAACCGGGTGGTAGCCGGCTAGTGATGGCTAATTAACAGTCTCATGGCCTTGAGCTAGAAACTGTTTTTCAGTCTCTCGGTCCCAGCTTTGATGCACCTATACTGACCTCGCCTTCTGGATGGTAGCGGGGTGAACAGGCCGTGGCTCGGGTGGTTGATGTCCTTGATCTTTTTGGCCTTCCTGTGACATTGGGTGCTGTAGGTGTCCTGGAGGGCAGACAGTGTGCCCCCGGCAACGCGTTGGGCAGACCGCACCACCCTCTGGAGAGCCCTGCGGTTGCGGGCGGTGCAATTACTGTACCAGGCGGTGATACAGCCTGATCAGATGCTCTCAATTGTGCATCTGTAAAAGTTTGAGGGTCTTAGGGGCCAAGCCACATTTCTCCAGCCTCCTGAGGTTGAAGAGGCGCTGTTGCGCCTTCTTCACCACACTCACTATGTGGGTGGACCATTTCAGATTGTCAGTGATGTGTATGCCGAGGAACTTGAAGCTTTTCACCTTCTCCACTGCGGACCCGTCAATGTGGATAGGGGCGTGCTACCTCTGCTGTTTCCTGAAGTCCACGATCAGCTCCTTCGTTTTGTTGAGGGAGAGGTTATTTTCCTGGCACCACTCCGCCAGGGCCCTCACCTCCTCCCTGTAGGCTGTCTCGTCATTGTTGGTAATCAGGCCTACTACTGTTGTGTCGTCTGCAAACTTGATGATTGAGTTGGAGGCCTGCGTTGCCACGCAGTCATGGGTGAACAGTGAGTACAGGAGGGGGCTGAGCACGCACCCTTGTGGGGCCCCTGTGTTGAGGATCAGTGACGTGGAGGTGTTGTTTCCTACCTTCACCACCTGGGGGCGGCCTGTAAGGAAGTCCAGGACCCAGTTGCACAGGGCGGGGTTCAGACCTAAGGCCCCAAGCTTAATGATCAGCTTGGAGGGTACTATGGTGTTGAATGCTGAGCTATTATCAAGGAACACCATTCTTACATAGGTATTCCTCTTGTCCAGATGGGATAGGGCAGTGTGATGGCGATTGCATCGTCTGTGGATCTATTGGGGCGGTATGCAAATTGAAGTGGGTCTAGGGTGTAAGGTAGAGGTGATATGATCCTTGACTAGCCTCTCAAAGCACTTCATGATGACAGAAGTGAGTGCTACGGGGCAATAGTCATTTAGTTCAGTTACCTTTGTTTTCTCGGGTACAGGAACAATGGTGGACATCTTGAAGCAAGGGGGACAGCAGACTGGGATAGGGAGCGATTTAATGTCCGTTAACACTCCAGTCAGCTGGTCTGCGCATGCTCTGAGGACGCGGCGGCTAGGGATGCCGTCTGGGCCGACAGTCTTGCGAGGGTTAACACACTTAAATGTCTTACTCACGTTGGCCACAGAGAACGAGAGCCCATAGTCCTTGGGCGCGGGCCGTGTCGGTGGCACTGTGTTATTACAAAGGGGGGAGGAGCTCCATTGGACATGAATTAACATTAATTTCGTGAACAAGCAGTACAATATTGCAAATCTTTTCCGAGATGTGAGATAATTAACTTGTTCTCTGTAATATCGCTTTGGAATTGTGACATTACGTACTTTAGAGGAAAATAGGCAGTTTCTCGACTCATACAGTGCCTTGAGTTTGAGAAGGGATTACGTCACAATTAGCCTAGCAACCGTTTGACTTAGCATGACACCATGAACACGATTGGTCGATAGTCTGCTGGGTGGGGCATTATACGTTTCTCCATTCATTACCCAATAGGATTCCTTTCTCTAATATATCTGTCTGAACGCAGTGCACAACGTCAGGATGTAGCATTAGCAACTAGAATGGTGGTGGGAAATGGTTTTTCATAAAGAAAGTATGCGGTTTCCGCCTTCTTGCCATTAAATCTAGTTAAGGAGGAAATCGACGCCTTTGCAGCCTGAATGAAAAATGTTTTAGTTACGAACCGGTCCACGGGGGATACGAGCGTATTGCCAGCTGCATATAATGCGTGTAGATGGTAAGATGAAACAATCAATATCGCCATCTGCTGGCCTTTGGGCTAAGTGACCCTCTGACTATCTAGCACAGGGGTTCCCAAACCTTTTCGCTCAGGCCACCTTTCGAGCATTGGGGAACATCCGGTCTATTTCTATGGGCAAAAGCACTGTTGATGACGCAAATTGTTCACACCCTTCTTGTTGGTGGAGATGATTTTACAGGTTGAAAGCTTATTTCCTGCAATTCTATACATTTGCCATGGGATGGGTAATTATTTTTTGCAATTTTTAAGCTAATTTCCAGCTTTCCTACACCCTTTGCCATGTCTTAAGTGTATTCATGTGATATAGCAGTGACATGCCCATTCCCTGGTTGCTGTAGCATTAGGCTTAGTACATCACAAGTTATCCTCTCATTTCAATTGGGTCAACCTTTTGCCTTAGTAGCATATTTTTTGTGGTACCCTCGGACCACCCTTATGATCTCCCTACTATGAGCCGTATCAGATAATGCACCTACATTCTGCTGTGTTTACATGTGTAAATCTGTAGGAGCTTAGATTAGCTAGTAGGAGTCTGCCCTGCTGCTAATATTTCCGAATGGGGGGGGGCAGGGGATTTGACGGATTAAATTAGTAACGAAAGATTAGTGAAGCAATCATTGTTTCTACAGATGCAGCTGGTTTGGTTTTTGGATTGAATTTAAACGAACAAAAAAGGATGGTGGCGGTGTCCTTAATTCTAGCTATCTAAAAGGGAGACTTTGCTTCGCAATTCCAATCAGTACGGTTTTGTCAACCAAGTAGTGGAGAGTAGGTGTTTTGTAACATTATTTAAATAATCTGGTTTTAAACTGTCGCTCCCTCTGTCTCCCTCAACATTTAGGACTACTCAGTCAGAATGTGTTAAATAGAGTATTGTGCCAATATTTGTCACGCAGACTCTTTATCGTTCCAATATTTCCTGTGTTGGATGATTGCATAAGGCAGTCTCACTTCTGCACGCTAAGATTATTTTAGTTGTCTGTCTTCATCTACGCACAAGTTCTAGAAAAACACAAGTGTGGAAGGAGAGCTCAGGATCTGATACGTGGTAGAGCACCACACTGTAAGAAAAATATATGTTGTGGTTGTGCTTAGGAGGTAGTAAGATCTTAATCTCCCATAGATACAGTTGAAGTTGGAAGTTTACATACACCTTAGCCAAATACATTTAAACTCAGTTTTCATAATTCCTGACATTTAATCCTAGTAAAAATTCCCTGTTTTAGGTCAGTTAGGATCACCACTTTTATTTTAAGAATGTGAAATGTCAGAATAATAGTAGATTGATTTTATATCAGCTTTTATTTATTTCATCACATTCCCAGTGGGTCAGATGTTTACATACACTCAATTAGTATTTGGTAGCATTTTCTTTAAATTGTTTAACTTGGGTCAAACATTTTGGGTAGCCTTCCACAAGCTTCCCACAATCATTTTGGTGAATTTTGGCCCATTCCTCCTGACAGAGCTGGTGTAACTGAGTCAGGTTTGTAGGCCTCCTTGCTCACACACACTTTTTCAGTTCTGCCCACAAATGTTCTATAGGATTGAGGTCAGGGCTTTGTGACGGCCACTCCAATACCTTGACTTTGTTGTCCTTAAGCCATTTTGCCACAACTTTGGAAGTATGCTTGGGGTCATTGTCCATTTGGAAAACCCATTTCCGACCAAGCTTTAACTTCCTGACTGATGTCTTGAGATGTTGCTTCAATATATCCACATAATTTTCCTTTCTCATGATGCCATCTATTTTGTGAAGTGCACCAGTCCCTCCTGCAGAAAAGCACCCCCACAGCATGATGCTGCCACCCCCGTGCTTCACGGTTGGTATGGTGTTCTTCGGCTTGCAAGCATCCGTTCTATTTTTGTTTGATCAGACCAGAAGACATTTCTCCAAAAAGTACGATCTTTGTCCCCATGTGCAGTTGCAAACCGTAGTCTGGCTTTTTTATGGCGGTTTTGGAGCAGTGGCTTCTTCCATGCTGAGTGGCCTTTCAGATTATGTCGATATAGGACTCATTTTACTGTGGATATAGATACTTTTGTACCTGTTTCCTCCAGCATCTTCACGAGGTCCTTTGCTGTTGCTCTGGGATTGATTTGCACACCAAAGTACATTCACGCATCTCTATCCTGAGCGGTATGACGGGTGCGTGGTCCCATGGTATTTATATTTGCGTACTATTGTTTGTACAGATAAACATGGTAATTTCAGGCGTTTGGAAATTGCTCCCAAGGATGAACCAGACTTGTGGAGGTCTACAATGTTTTTCTGAGGTCTTGGCTGATTTCTTTTGATTTTCCCATGATGTAAAGCAAAGAGGCACTGAGTTTGAAGGTAGGCCTTGAAATACATCCACAGGTACACCTCCAATTAATTACATTTTACATTTTAGTAATTTAGCAGACGCTCTTATCCAGAGCGATTTACAGTTAGTGCATACATTTTTCACACTGGCCCCCCGTGGGAATTGAACTCACAACCCTGGCGTTGCAAGCGCCATGCTCTACCAACTGAGCTACAGGAGGACTCAAATGATGTCAATTAGCCTATCAGAAGCCTCTAAAACCATGACATAATTTTCTGGAATTTCCCAAGCTGTTTAAAGTCACAGTCAACTTAGTGAATTTAAACTTCTGACCCACTGGAATTGTGATACAGTGAAATAATCTGTCTGTAAACAATTGTTGGAAAAATTACGTGTCATGCACAAAGTAGATGTCCTAACCGACTTGCCAAAACTATAGTTTGTTAACAAGAAATTTGTGGAGTGGTTGAAAAACAAGTTTTAATGACTTCAACCTGAGTGTATGTAAACTTCTGACTTCAACTGTAGCAAGGAAGAGAGGGAGCATTTCCTTAGAGAGACACAGAGAGAGAGGGGGCAGAGAAGGAGAGGGAACATGTTCTGTACTCTTGAGGTGTCCCATTTGGACCTAAGTGAGGTATTACTGATGTCCTGAGAGGTAGTTTTTTTTATACAGCCTGGTAAAAGATTAGCTTAAGGGAGTCAGAAGGGCATCCTATCTTGTAAACAACATTTGGCCTAGTAGTCTCAAACTGCCTGTTAAGCACTTAGCATATCTACAGGTCTGGAAACTGGTTTGGGTTTAATGGTATTTGGTTTACTTGGCCATAATTTCACACATGGAGTTAAAAATGGAAGGTTTAAAAATACAGACATAGCTTTCAAGATCCCGGCTAGCCTCTTTAGCACCAGTAGGATTAGCTGTGCTGCTATAAATTCAAAACTGTTTTTTGTGTGGTTTTTTTCAGACTTTTATCAACATTTCCAGATTGTTTGGTTGTGTAACTTCTCTAAAATGGTTGGATTGATCTGAATGTTGCAATTTCAGTGGGAAATGGCGAACAGTTTCTCCAACAAAGGACTTGCAGTGCAAGGCGTCCATGTCTTTAAAAAAAAAACACAGCAGAAAAATTAACCTGTTTGCTTGATACTCTTCCTCTCTGTTCCTATTGTGAGGCCTGGCAGAGGCCTCTGTTATAGGCTGCGTCCCACATTGCGCTATATTCCCTATGTAGTGCACTGGGCCGAATAGGGTGCCATTTGGGATGTAGCCCTAGAGTCCGGATGCTGTTCTGTTGGAAACCTGCCCAAACACCCAAAACTCCACGTGTGTGTTAAACAAACGCTTCCTTTAAAGATTACCCTGGAGAGGCACATCTCAAACCTGTACGTAGATCAGATCCAAAGGATATTGTTATAGCTGTACAGCAGAGAGAGGGAAAGACAGGAATATGGTGTGAGGCAGGAAGAGGGGGAGAGTACTGTGAGAGTTAGTCAGCGAGAGTGTGTGTGAAGGAAGCTATGCAGTGTCAGTAGCTTCCTGTGTGTTGGCCAAGCCCAGTTAGCACACCACACCACAGAGGAAGAGCCTGACTCTTGGCCTTTACCAGCCTCGCCTGCCTCGGCCTGCCTGCCCTGCCTCGGCCTTGCCGGACACAAAGACCCTGTCTGTTTACCATCTAATTTGATTTGCATGCACAGCAGAGCTCCCACAATCCAACCAAAATGGCATCACGATCCACAGCAGCATGATCTGCAGACAGCAGCTTGATTTCATTTCTCGCCCACTCCCTTGCAATAGCCGGAGCGACTCTCATTTCAGAGTTCATTTTGGTTTAGAATGCTTTGAAAAGTATAGCTGTAGCTAGGGCTTGGTGTACTGCTAGTGTTCTAGTCTTCAAACCGTGTCATACATCAATCCCTACGAGAGGACAACACTGATGTTGTGTTTCAGTTATCTATCATTCCTTTGTGTAAAAATCAGGTGGTCATGGCTAACTGTGTGCAGTGGAAGTTTGGTTAATAACTCCTGTCAAACACTTGGAGTTCCCCCTCTTCAAGTTGTTTTTGAGACGTTTAGATCCGTAGAAGTATCATACAAAGGTTGGGAAAGGAAAGGAAAGCATGGTACCTATAAGATCCAGACCTGGGTTCAAATACTATGTCATGTTTTTTTAGTAAAAAATAAATAAATTGTTTCAATTATTTAGAAGTCAGTATTTAGATATTATTTACTTGAAAAGACAAGTAGTTGAATATTGGACTGTATTTGTAAATGCACTGTTGAATGAGAGTGTACCAGTGTTGTTTTCTCACTGTTAAGTTATCGTAATAACATGATATCAAAACAAATGTACAAGGATCAGAAAGGTACACTACCGGTCAAACGTTTTAGAACACCTACTGTGCTCAGCATATGTGGGAACTCCTTCAAGAATCTTGGAAAAGCATTCCGGGTGAAGCTGGTTGAGAGAATGCCAAGAGCTTGCAACGCCAGGGTTGTGGGTTCGATTCCCATGGGGGGCCAGTATGAAAATGTATGCACTCACTAACTGTAAGTCGCTCTGGATAAGAGCGTCTGCTAAATGACTGAAATGTAAGTGTGCGCAAAGCTGTCATCAAGGCAAAGGGTGGCTATTTGAAGAATCTCAAATATCAAATATATTTTGATTTTAACACTTTCTTGGTTACTACATGATTCCATATGTTATTTCATAGTTTTGATGTCTTTACTTTTATTCTACAATGTAGAAAATAGTAAAAATAAAGAAATACCCTTGAATGAGTAGGTGTTCTAAAACTTTTGACCGGTAGTGTGTGTCATATGAAATTTCCTCTCAAACACGGAGGAACGCTCCACCACTGGTTGAACCAGTCAGCGTATATCTAAATAACAGTCCTCTCTCACTCTCACTCTCTCTCACTGAAAGACATGGATGACATCCAAGTTGCGTCAAAAGCACCCCTGCTTGTTGACCGGGAATTGCCAGTAAGTAAACACACGATCATTAATATTATCATACATTTGATTTGCATGTACTATAGACTACGGTTTATTTGTCTGTGCGAAATGTAGTTTAAACTTTGTTATAGGACAACTGAACTCCATACATAAATTATGACTGTTTAGCTGTCAGGAACAGTCTGAAATGTTTGTGCTGTACATTGATACTGGTCCTTACCGATACATTTTTTTTTCCTCAACTTTCTTTATATTTAAAACACAATGCAGCCCATAGGACAATTAGGTATTCTCTAATTCATCATATCTTATTGGAAGGACTTAACTCTCTATAACCGTTGTCTCTGTCATTTTTAGGGGTTGAGAGCGGCTGTAGCACAACTTGTGATAAAGGTATGTCCCTATGGTACACACATAGATATCCACACTTCTTTTTATTTAACTACGCAAGTCAGTTAAGAACAAATTCTTATTTACAATGACTGCCCGGACGATGCTGGGCCAATTGTGCGCTGCCCTATGGGACTCCCAATCACGGCCGGTTATGATACAGCCTGGAATCAAACCAGGGGGTCTGTAGTGACGCCTCAAGCACTGAGATGCAGTGCCTTAGACCGCTGCGCCACTCGGGAGCCCACATGTTGACATAACCCACAAGTTTCAGTGTAGAGTAGTCAGATTAATGTCCACATGGATTAGGTTGTGATAATTTAGTATTTAGCCACATCTGGTGGGCAATGTAAAAGGACAGTTAATTAATTAATCATCTTGCAGTACTTGCTGCCCCTTAGGCTTTTCTGGTGGAAGTTTTGCACACATTTAAGTCTCTTTGATACTGACAGATGACGTTACATGACTACTGCACTAATGTTTTATCTGTAGCCCTTTGTGTAATCTGAAGAGGAAAAAGTATAATTTAATTTTGAGCACTAGTATGAGTGTGTATGTTGTCTTGACATACAGCCAGCAGCATACCAACTACATACATTCAGGACCTTGGACTGCACCACTGGGAACCCACTACCTACCAATCAATGCTTTCATTCTTAACTTATAAATAGCCTATCATGTGCTAATATCCTGAAAAATTCGACCTGGGAATTGTCAGTGGTGCCAGTAGAGGGATTCTCCCTGCAGCTAACCATCTCGTGGAAACCGACCCTCATGCCGGTTGGGATTAGTCAACTCAGGTTTCCAGGGCAAGCGTTTAATATCACTTTGTGTCTTAGAGCCCTACTGACGTAGGTAGAGGAGGGACACCTCGGACACCTGTCCCGTTCCCAGGCTGCCTCCCCCTCCCCCGTTCAGCTCAGGCACACTAGTTACACATGTATCCCTCCTCCTTTCTCCTCTCCCTCCTCTAGCTAGCTCAATGGGATTAGCTCAGCATATGTCTATATCAAACTGCCGCCAAATAAGCCGTGGCTACCTAGACGATACTGCCATCAGATGTTTACCTTATGTCATGTAAATAGGTTATGTGAACCTGGAGGGAAGCCTTGGTTGAACTGGATTTGACTACATTGTTGACTCTTATTGCGTCCCAAATGGCAACCTGTTCCCTATGTAGTGTACTACTTTTGACCAGAGCCATAGGAATTTGGAAAAATGTGTGCACTATGTAAGGAATAGGTTGCCATTTGGGACACACCTACTCAGGGTCTTAAACTGGACCTAACTACCTTCCTTGTAAGATTTGTTTTGGTCAGTGTATGGGGTTTATGACGTCAGGATTCCTCCGCTATTCCAGTGGCAATAGTATTTAATTGGTAACCACTCATACTTGCAGTATCAGTAGGTCCAGTGGGCTAGGCCTATGAAATTGAACGTGCCGCAAACAAAATTGCACCTAGGAGCCAATAGTCTATCTGATCTTTGGAATAGTAGACTAAAGATTATAATCTCCCCACACTGATAACATTGAGACATGAACTGATGTATTTGTACAGTATCTCATAATGATCCTGAGTGAATCATTTTCAATCTATTGAAACATTGCCACATAGACATACCTAACAGAATGACTTAATACACTATAAAGGCTTCAGACATGATTATGCCAATGCTATTACAAAAAAATACTTTATTTTTCTCTTTCTTGACCGCCTGATATGTCATCAAATTAGGATATTTTGACAACTGGGTTAAAGATTATTCATTGCTCTTGTATACTGGATTCCTATTGATCTGATGGCTTGCTTACTCTTCACTTTGGACTATTCATTAAATATCCCTTGCTGCCCCACTTTCTGACATTGTGCTGATCCAATTTAGGGATCTCTTCAGCTAGAATTATCTTGTTTTGACCACCTTGCAAAGCACCATGGGAGGCCATGGGCTTATGCAGAGTAGTAAGTACCAGGGGTATAAAACACAACCCTCAGACAAGTCCCCTCATAAGAACCTTTTACAGAAGCTTACCTTCAATTGGATCTATAGCTCAGAGCAGTACCTCTGTTTACTACTCAGTACGGGTGACCAAAAGCCACTAGAAAACATGGTTCTTGAGGGGGATTCGGACATGGAGAGTGTTGCTGAGATTGAAACCTCTGTGAGTACTGTTGGATCTCTGTCTGTTATGGAGTAGTTGATGGTGTGCTTTGACGGTTCGTCTTGGGCTTGTTTACCTTCAGTTTGTACTATTGTGGGATTGAAATAAACAATCTCAGATTGGGAGAAACATGGTGGACTGATGGTCCTTTTGGAAGTAATACGCATCAGTCAAAAATCATAATTGTTGAAGCATTATTGCCAGACGCTCTGGTTGATGACTCCTTGAGAAACAGTACTGAATGCAGAAAGGCTAACGGCTTTTGCATGAGCCAATTGTCTGTTTCACTGAAAGTTGGATATATTTTTTTTTGTTTTCAATGGCACTTTCTGATGAAGCCTTTACATTTTGGTCATTTTAGCGTTTGCTCTTATTCAGAGCGAACTTTAAGTCTGTTTGGATGTGTTCTGATTTACAATGTGTTGAGTGTTGGAGAAAATACATGCGGCCCAAATGAAAAACAAGTGATTCTGAAGGGCAAAACTAAATCCATAATGATTCATTCAAGTGTTTTCTCTGCATCTTCAAAGCTGACATGAGCTTAGTGTATTCTCATTCTCTGCTAAGCATGGATACTTTGGTGCAGTTCAACTCTGTTTCGCTTAGGGTTTACCTTGTCCAGGTCGAGTAGAGTTCTTCATTGTTTTTTTGTTTGTTATGGATAATATTTTCTTCTAAAGTTTAACAGAGTTTTGTGGTACCCCTATTTGCTAACCGTGGTTTACTCCATCTTTAGGAGCACGATGTGGAGACTCCCCATGGAAGGATCCACTGCACCATGAAGGGGACGCCCAAAGGAGACCGGCCTGTCATCCTCACCTTCCATGACATTGGACTGAACCGTAAGCCCCATACGCTTCACTCATCCCATCCTAGTTAATGGATTTGATGTCACCCCTCAATGTAAGACTAATGTCCCCATGCTCTTTGGTATTACTACCTTCAGTATGTTAAGTTTGAGAATGAGAACGTCTGTTTGTTGACTGTAACGGCTAGTCAACATCATGAAAAGTTCATTTACTTTGTTTGTAAAAGATAATTGATTCTCAATGACTTACCTGGCTAAATAAAGATAAACATTTAAATAAATAGATACATCGAAAGTTGAGAAGAAGCACACAATGCCCACCATGTTAGACATCTGTCATCCACAAATCATGTGAGATCCAGCCTCATCACTAACATCCTGTACCTGATCTACATGTTGTTTCAGACAAGACGTGCTTTGACCCCATGTTCCAGCATGAGGACATGCAGGAGATCATGCAGCACTTTGCTGTGTGCCACATTGATGCCCCTGGGCAGCACGAGGGGGCCAACACGTTCTCTAATGGGTGAGCCCAGTCGTCTAGCCTTATCTCACATCTTTTTTGTTGATTGGATAGGACAGATGGAAAGATGGAGGAGAGAGTGCTGAAACTGCAGTGGGCCGTATTCAAACCCATGCTGCAGCGGTATGTGTTCTGGAGGCAGCGGCTTAGACCACTTGACCACCCTAGACCTCACCGCCTTTGCACCAAATGTAGGCCAGCCTGTTCGTCTGTTACCCTTTGACCTCTGTACTGTACAATCTAGATCTGTTGTGACCCATTTACACTGATGTCTTGATAAATCATTAGCTAGTTAGGTGAATATAGTTTTTTACCTGATTGCTTTGCTGCTTCATTTTTATGACCGTTTGCATCTTGAGTCCATATCACCATTGATCTGAATAGGAGAGATGATCAAAGTGAAAAAAGGATCGGAGAAACCAGTATAAGGCTGTTGCTGGAATAGAGATCTGGAGGGCAGTGATAAGAAGCATTGTATAGTGTTGATAATGGAAGTACTTTAACCCTGACGGTTGTTGTTTTCTGTCCAGGTACGAGTACCCCTCCATGGATCAGCTGTCTGAGTCCCTCCCCCTGGTCCTCAAGCATTTTGGGTAAGTCCAAACAAGGACTATAAGATTTAGAAATTGATCAAATATTTTCATTATGAAATATATTTCTCCTCATACATTTGAACTGTTCAGGATCTATATTCTGAAAGTGTCTCAGATTAGAAGTGTTGTTTTGCCTTCTAGATCATAATGAATAAGACTCCTATTTTGAGATGCTTTATGAAAAAAGACCATGATGTCTTAGACCTCCATCCATTTTGGCTCAAAAAAGATTCTGATGATATTGTGTTTTTGTTAACCACAGCCTGAAAAGCGTCATTGGAATAGCCGTCGGAGCTGGAGCCTACATCCTGGCGAGATTCGCAGTGAGTTTGACGCCCTCCTACCTTCCCCTTTCAATCATGCTTAAGTATGCTTCATTATGAAGAGTTTTAATCAAACTGGGATTAGAAGTTACAGTATACTAATGTTCCCGGTGATGCAGTGCTGATTTTGGGTGTACAATCCTGCTTATTGCTTTAGCCTGCTGCTGAGAGTGTGGAAATGTTCTAGACTGGCTCCGCACCAAAACACCCGGCTCTGTAGGGACTCCCGTCTCAATGTGCTGAAACGCAGATGAGGGAGGGATACAAATAATGTTTTAACTCCTAACTGACCTCGCTCTGTTACGAAACGTTGAGGTTTCAATGCGTATAGTGAATTAAATGGACCCCTATGAGGTTTCAATGAGCACTGTTTGTATATTTTCACCATTACGAAGTCATTGACCGAATGTTTGTTTCTGTTTTTAGCTGGACTACCCAGCGTTGGTGGAAGGCCTGGTTCTGATTAACATCAACCCCTGTGCTGAGGGATGGATGGACTGGGCTGCAAACAAGGTACAATACAGGACCATCTCCACAGATCCACAACAATCCATCAACTTTGATTTATAAAGCCCTTTGTCAACATTGTCACATAGCTTGTTTATACAGTATTAACGTAGCTATGTATATGATTGATCTTTGCTATTTGACCCATAAAAAAAAAAAAAAACTCTGCTTTTGAATCTCTTTTCAGGTCACTGCTTTGCCCGAAATGCTCATCGGCCATCTCTTCGGAAAGGTGAGCAGTGGGCACCCAGATAGACAGTGATTGAAACTGCAAATCACATCAACATAATCCTATTGAATCTATTCCAATTATGGGCTACATAGATATAGGACAGTTCACAGCAGGCTTACATGTTGCAGTACTGTGTCACTAGGTCACAGAGTCTGAGTAGGTGTTTATTTATGTCTCTGTAGGAGGAAATCTCCAACAACCATGACCTTATCGCCACCTACCGCCATCACATCATGAACGACATGAACCAGTACAACCTGCACCACTTTGTCAAAGCTTATAACAGGTAAATACACTGGGCTCCTGCAGAGAATAATCATAAAATGGTATCCATGAGTTAATCTGACTCTAGGGAAGTAGATAAAGGGCTTCATTGTCAAAATCCTGATGTATCCCTTTCAATCAAGTCTTACAACATGTAAATACACTAGACTCCTCGCTGCAGAGAATAACACGGATTACCATGAACATCCTTTGACTCCGCATAAACATGTATATATTTTATATACATAATCAAGTCTTACAAGTCCTCCAGAGGACACCTGTATATTCATTATAGACATACTGTGTCTTATTTATGTATTTCTATATAATGTCTTATATTACATATCTATAATATAAAATGTGCATATGTAATATCATATTTGTAATATGTCAATATGTTCAGTTTGGGCCTCACTGATATCCCACCTTTTTCCCTCCCAGCCGGCGGGATCTGGAGATTGAGAGGCCCATTCCTGGTGGGAAAGTCTCCGTCAGAACCCTGAAGTGAGTTCCAAACCTTCTGACCTTTCACCATACCTCAATCATCTCACATGGCATATTGCTAGAGCCCTGAGTTTTCCCTGACCTGGAAACTCTGGGCCCTAGTTATAGCCTGGTGAGAACCTGGAAACTCTGGGCCCTAGTTAAAGCCTGGTCAGGTGGTTACTCGGTCCGGGAAAAACTACTGACCCTGTAGTAATATAACCAGAAATTGATATAATGACAAGATGCTAGTCTCCGCCCTAACAATGGGATTCGTTGACCACAGAGCGGAACGGCGGGCTGTCAAGCTCCCTCCTGTTCCTCTCTTTAGATTGGTGGATACATCTCGTTATTTGACTACTTTGTTGAATAGTCGATGAGAGGTGTTGACGTCAACCGCCTGTATTCAATGGAGAGTGAGATGCTAGCCTCATGAATATGCATAGACCGTCTCGAATTTCAACAGGGACAACTCAGATATAAAGTGTTTTTTCTCAAAGTTGCCGGGATGTCACGTGCATCACACTTATATCAGTACAGTCGTCACAACCTAAGCATTACCAAACTTCTATTAAATCAAATAAGCCTCACGTATCAAAATAGCAATTCATTTTTTTGCCCTCAGGTGTCCTTCTCTGTTGGTGGTAGGAGACAGCTCTCCAGCCGTTGACGCTGTGGTAAGTCCAAGTACACACTCTGTAATCCTAACGGCCATAAACAAATCATTAACAGTAATACCTCTGGTCTTCAGTTCCTAAGAACACGTGTTGTCCATTCATCTAAATCAGGGCTCTCCATCCCTGTTCCTGGAGAGCTACCGTCCTGTAGGTTTTCACTCCAACCCTAATCTAGCGCACCTGATTCTTAATAATTAGCTGGTTGAAAAACTGAATCAGGTTAGTTACATCTGGGGTTGGAGTGAAAACGTACTGGAGGGTAGCCCTCCAGGAACAGGGTTGGTGAGCCCTGACCTACCCAACAAGGTATTTACAACATTAACAAAGGTTAACTTTTAGGATTCAAACATGGGGAAAAAAAAGGGAAAGAAATCAAACACCACAAAAGCTATTCTAGCAATAAAATATTACTCCTCCAGTTACCTATTTATTTCTCTACTAGGGTAAATATTTAGTCGCTCAATTAGACTCTGTACTTTGCATCCACAGGTAGAGTGCAATACTAAGCTGGACCCGACAAAGGCCACACTGCTCAAGGTGAGTAGCCTCTACCTCCTCCTGCTAATAATAGGTCCGATCTTGGCTAGGCAGTCTGATGAGCTTCCAGAAGCTCCGCAACTACCTGGTGACTGATTTACTAGCCTTGCCTTGGACTCCTGAGACCGCAGGTTGAGGCTATGCTGCTGTACCCAGCCTCCAGGGTATGTTCATTAGACACGCAATGGAAAATGTTTTGCAAAGAAAAATTTGAGTTTCTTATTGGACCAAGTCCAGCCCTCCCTGTTTGAGTTTTTTTACTGCTGTTTGGTTCCTGATAAACATGACCCAGGTCACAATCCTTCCTGTCTGGCCTACCTAGGATGTGCACACCCCTGGCTGTGACCAAATGCGTTCTGTAAAGCCCTGAAATGGGCACATTTTATAGACCATAAACTGTTAACTGTCCAGAGGCTAATGGAAAACACTTGTTGTTTCACGTTGAGACAGTGTTAAAAAGGGAGGTTGTTTTGTGTAATGGGGGGTGACTAATGTCGTACTGCTGCTGACCTGCTACCTTAACTCTTTTCTCTTGAATGACGTGCTCCTGAGGTGTTAACGGTCCCTAATCTCATGGCCTCTTTATTTTGTATTTTCATCCAGATGGCCGATTGCGGAGGCCTGCCCATGGTTGACCAGGTGCGTTTCTAACTTGTTAGCACGTTCACGCAGGCGGGGTGGGTTGGCAAAGGGATAATCGTTAGTGGGCTAATACACGGGCAGCTTCACTTAAGAGCATTAGTGACAGTAGCAATGAGGCACAGACGTCAGGTCTGGAGAGTTAATACCCAGCTCAGCACCTGCTGCTACAACAGCGGTCATACATATGCCTCTCATTATCACAGTTTGTAGGTTAGGACATGAATCCATCTGTTGATATGTCATGTGTATAATAACAGGGAAACAAGTGGCAAACTTTCTCCTTTGCTCTCCCAACAGCCTGCAAAGCTGACGGAGGCCTTCAAGTACTTCATTCAGGGAATGGGCTACAGTAAGTACACACACTCTGTGTAACCAACGCTGACCAGTAATTATATTAACATAAGTATTTAATTATGTAGAAAGATAAAAGCCTGGTTACCCTATTACTGTTTGCAAAAAACATAGGTGTTCACATCAACCTGTAAGAATGAGTTTTCCTGCCACCTGGTGGGTGAGATTAGAAACTGCACCTTCAGATAACAACAGGATGGCAGTTAACCTGTTCTATAATGATTTAAAGATACATATTAAATATAGTGCCTGCAATCAGACTTCAGTTGACCATGGATACAGGAGTGTGAATGGATCTTTAACCTCCTTCTCTGGCTCTGTTGTTCTTCCTTTTCCTCCTCTTCCTCCTCCTTTCCTTAGTGCCCGCCGCCAGCATGACCAGACTGGTCCGCTCTCGCACTGCATCGGGCTCCAGCATCCACTCCATGGATGGCAACCGGAGCCGGTCTCACACCAACGAGGGCAACAGGAGCCGGTCACACACCAATGAGAAGCGTGGTCGCTCCCACACGGACAGTATGGAAGGCACAGCGAATAGCAGCGCTGCGCTCAAATCCACCGAAGTGTCCTGCTAGATGACCCTTACATGACACTCAACCTCTGACCCCCTGCCCCCCTGGTTCCCGCTGCGCTGCCACTAACCACACCTACAAACACACATACACAACTAGAGAATATTGTCTCTATGCCAAAGAGTTATGCGAAGAGGTTGTGTGTAAGGCTATGCAAGTGTATATACTACTGCATTATAAAGGAAATTCCTTAGAGGGGAAATATGTATTCTGAAATAAACAGATCCCTTCCCATCTGCCGAGTCAGGTGGAATGTCTAGTTGTTAGGGGCAACGCAGCAGAGTGACACACCGCAACGGAGAATGTGAGAGAAAGCTGTGGCTGCAGAGCGAGTACCTAGTACAGCAGTTTAAATCTATCGTGACATGTTTCTTTTTTGTCTGTAGTTCTTGAGTGCATTTGACACAGCTTTCTCAAATGTGCACCTGACTGTTTCTAATTGTTCATCATTAACTTTTCAGTGTTCTGATTCATGTACTAGAAGTGGAGTAAGAATAGGGAGGAAAGTGGCAAGGAAAGAAAGTCGGCTTTTTTATCTTCTCAAATTGCTATTCGTCTTTGAAACTGGAAAGGAGGGAATTGAAGAGTATCATCATGTACATACAACACATTCATGTAACTCTTCCTCTGTTTTAGGATGTTTCGTCTGGAGTTAAGTCTTCTGGATGTATCTGTTAACTCTCTGGAATCAAATGATTGTAGCCATTCTATTGTAGAACATTCCAAGAGACTACCCTTCCATTAATCAAACAAACACAAACTGTTGCTTTATTAACAGATCATGGCTTCAGGCACAATTGTTCTTTTGGATATTTCTTCTCGTGTATGTAAATGATTATATTTGTTCTGCCGTGATTACATAGAAATAATGTGCCATGGAAACCCTCTTTGACTTATTAAGGCTCCTTTGTTGTGATGGATTTGAGAAAGTCAAGCCGATCCACATGATGTAATATAAAGATTGAGTTAGCCATAGAGCTTATCAAAAACCCTCTCCAACTATTACGTGCACTAGAGCAACACTTGCCGGCTACATCGCTTTATAAAGATACACTACTGCCTAATGCTGTAGACGAGAAGCATTAAATATGGCATAACAGTTTATTTACTAAGAAAATAAAAACATAACTTTTTGTCCTGGTGTTGTCATCATTTTATGTAGAATGTGGCCTTGTAAGATCAAACGATACCACAGTTCCACAGGATCATATTAACCATATATAGCACATGCATTCTATAGTAGCATCACCATCTCTTACTCATTATTCAATTCAGAGCCACACGATCAAATCAACTTTACATGAGATTGAATGAGATTTCATGAAACTTGTTACTGTGAATATAGAAATACCTGTATGACAAACAATTTTTTCAATCATTTAGTATTCAAGATATACTTCAATAAATTATAACTAAAATATTTCACACACTTGGTTTACTTGTAAGTCAATAAACTCTTTCCCAAAGCAACCATATACAGACCATAAAGACATGCTTAAAAAACCCTCTGAAGTTTCAAAACACAAAAAAACATTTATTTACACATTTTTCCAATAGGAAAAAAAGCATAAGAAAGATCCCCTTGTAAGAAAAATACTTTGACCGGTATTCAATCCAATGGACGATCTAGAGGAGCGCACTATAACAGACTGAATGCAATGTCTGCGAATGCTGGGACTGTCTTCTGCATGATGCACTGTTCTATAACGTGCCTTGGATTGAATATCGGCCTTTATGTATGAAATAAAATATATAACAGAGTTTCTGAAGTTCTGACAAACCAAAAAAACGTTGAGAAAGGGAAAAGTAAGTGAAAATAGGGGTAGATGGAAGCTTAGGCCTAGATTCAATCAGATCAGGCATTAACCAGCGATAGCAGACACCTGCATAGCGGATGTTTCAGAGGTGGAGCTGCATTGGAGCTGTCAAATCGGTGAGCAGCTGCTCTTGCGATCATTGTCAGGAATCCACACCCACGCCACTCCTGTTAGAAGTTCAGAACGAGAAAGTTTAGGCTATATAGAAATAATGACGCTCAAAGTGAAAAATCATTGAACTAAATAATGAGGATTTCTATCATCCTAATGGAGGTGTAGATTATGTCTCGCATTCCAGTGGTTGCTTGGGGATTTCTGTTCACGTGACTCCGTGTAGCCAATGGCAATGTCCGCTTTAGGTATAATGCCGGGAGCCACTTGTGGATTTGACAGCTCTAAAGCAGTTCCACCTCTAACACCATCAAAACAACCGCTATGCAGACGTTGGCTAAGCGTATCTGATTGAATAAAGCCCTTAATAAGCTTATGTCTTATTATTGAAATGTCTCAGTTCACGATCTCAGGGTAGCCATAGTAATTCTCCAGCTCGGCGAAGATGTCGTTGGGGTTCCTGCAGCTGAGGTTACAGAAGCAGGCGTTGATCCACATGACTTGCCAGGTGAACACGGCCCCGTTGGGACACACAAACTCCACGTCGATGGTCTTGGACTTGTAGGGAATGCAGCAGCGATCGTCCGTGGCCATGCAGACACCACAGTATTTAGGCTGGTAAGACTTCTTACTAACACAGCCTGATATGGTAAAGTTTTTGGGCTGCTCTTCTCTGTAGATGTTCATACAATTCTTCCCTGGCTGAGAGACAAGAGCGAGAAAGAGGACAAGTTAAATGATTAAATCAATGTTATTGATATTTTCTTTGTAATGTTCCTAGAATCTTGGGAATGTGGTCTTTTTTGCAATGTGAACTCTTCAATATAGATATCATAACGAACAAACATTTGACCTCTATGCAATGCGTACGTGTATCCATGCATGTGTGTCCGTGTCCACATACTGTACATGTACCTTGATGTGCTTGATGATGTCCACCTCACAGGGCCGTATGTTGCAGAGGCGGGACTCTTTTACCATCTCACACCTCTCGTTGGCGTTGGAGACACGCAGGGACAGACCTCGACCACAAGTCTTAGAGCAGATACTCCATGAGGTGGTCTGGATCACACAGTTCCTGCTCCGACCCTTCGCCTCAGCAGGAAGAGCTATGTCAACAGAGACAGGCAGAGAGGAAGTGTGTGTGTGTGTGTGTGAGTGAGCGAGCGAGAGAGAATAATAACAATTGAATATGGGCAGTGATAGAAGTGATTTATAGACATTATTAATCAAAACTGGAGCTGATACAATACATGACCAAAGGTATGGGGACACCTGCTCGTCGAACATCTCATTCCAAAATCATGGGCATTAATATGGAGTTGGTCCCCTCTTTGCAGCTATAACACAGGACGATAGCTCTCCAGGAACAGGGTTTGCGTTAACCTACAGGATGGTAGTTCTCCAGGAACAGGGTTCGAGTTAACCTACTGGACGATAGCTCTCCAGGAACAGGGTTTGCGTTAACCTACAGGACGGTAGTTCTCCAGGAACAGGGTTGGAGTTAACCTACAGGACGGTAGCTCTCCAGGAACAGGGTTAACCTACAGGACGGTAGCTCTCCAGGAACAGGGTTCGAGTTAACCTACAGGACAATAGCTCTCCAGGAACAGGGTTGGAGTTAACCTACAGGACGGTAGCTCTCCAGGAACAGGGTTAACCTACAGGACGGTAGCTCTCCAGGAACAGGGTTAACCTACAGGACGGTAGCTCTCCAGGAACAGGGTTAACCTACAGGACGGTAGCTCTCCAGGAACAGGGTTAACCTACAGGACGGTAGCTCTCCAGGAACAGGGTTAACCTACAGGACGGTAGTTCTCCAGGAACAGGGTTAACCTACAGGACGGTAGTTCTCCAGGAACAGGGTTAACCTACAGGACAGTAGCTCTCCAGGAACAGGGTTGAAGAGCTCTGCTCTAGTACATCCAAGTTCCCTTTTGGCTTTGCACACTACTGGCCAGGATCGCTGAGCACTTGAACTACCCAAGAATAACCATGAGAATGAGAGCGAGAGAGTGTACAGGAAAAGGGTTTAGTCTTTTCTTACACACAGCTGCACCTCTTCTCCCCCCTGGAGTAACAACCTACACACCCTAGTCCACCGCTGATAGTGTTTTAAGATCCCACACAACTACTGCTGCAACAGCAGTACTACCTGTGAGCTACTGTGAAGCACTGTCCTCAAACTATTTTGCTTCACAATTCTCAAAGTATTGCCCAATATTACCATGGTTATTAGTGTTACAAGATTTTCAATACATGAGACTCTATCCATACATATCAACTGTATTAGACTGATTTATTTATTGATCGATTGATTGCAGTGGAGGCCAGCTCATAGTAATGACTGGAATGGAATAAATGGAATGGTATTGAACACATTAACTATTTCTCCATCACTAATGGAAACCATGTATTTGAAACGGTTCCATTCATTCCATTCCAGCCATTACAGTGGTGACACCGCCACCACTGATTAATTGATTGACTGACTACTGACTGAGTGATTGATTGCTTGATCAATTGTTTGATTGATTGATGGATCTGTGTCCTACCTTCCACTGCATGTCTTGGAGCAGTCTTCCGCCCCTTCTTGGGCTCGTCACAGATCCACTGTTCACAGCAGCGTCCTGGGATCTTGACCCTCCTCGGGTTCTGGCACCACACCCGGGGGGGCTGGGAGTCTGTACACAGGGTCACGCACCCGATGGCCCCGTTCACACATAGACACTGGTATTTACAGCTGGGCTTGAAGCTCTGTCCATTACGGTAGATCACACCGTCATGCTCGCAGCCCGTGCCAACCATATCTTGTAAAGAAGGTCAGGACAGCAGTAAGAAAGATACACAGTGAATAAGGTAATGATGACAATGTAATGTAGCAGGCTATGTTTTTAGTGTTATCTGAACAACAAAAAAAACATGTCATGACATTGGGTAATATGATTGCGAAACCTATTCACTTTTCCTTTGATAATTGTTACTTTGTCATTGAATTTCTAATTTCCTTCTAGGATGAAATGTTACTAGATGTGCAATTAGTGTGCTGGGACATGATCATAGTAGTGTTACTATGACTTAAAGGAATAATCAACTCAAAAACTAAAGGTTGGTATTTTTTTCATTGGTCCACTGTTGATACAGTCCCAAAATGTTTTGCATGTCAGCAATCCGGTTTTCAAGATATAGGACTTTCAGAAAGCAAATTGTAACTTGCCACATTATCATGATGATGTGGCAAGTTACAATTTGCTATATCTTGAAAACCGGATTGATGACATGCAAAACATTTTGGGGCTGTATCAGCAGTGGACTAATGAAAAAAATACAAAAATATAGTTTTTGAGTGGATTATTCCTTTAATCATGATTGGTGTCTTTAGTAGGTTAGAGTAGGTGTGGTGAGTGACACTTACATGCACACACTCCTTTTTCGTACCTAGGCTTGTCTGAGCTGTAGTCACAGTACAGTCCCTTATGGTAGTCACAGGTGTCTGCCTCGTTGCACTCCTCCCCCACCTGCCTGGCGCAGGCCTTGCAGCAGTCACAGCCGTCCATGAGCAGGCTCACCCCTGGGGGGCAGGAGGGGGGGACCAGGGGGCACTCACAGGGCCAGTGGCAGTACTGGGTCCGGTTGTACGGCTCCAGGTCTGTGGCTTCTGCTAGGGGCAGCATGGCAGTAGAATTCTGGGTCTGGGAGTAGGCCTAGAAGTGAGGGACAGAGAGGAGTTATTGTTATGCACTTTGATATACATAATACATATTTTAGTTTGGTACGGTCAAACGCTATGACTTTTGGTAACACAATAAACCATGTAAGTAGAGAACAGACATTCCTAAAGCATCAAAGATGTACAGTATGTTATCTGTGTTTCCATGTCTAGGACAATTAAAAGCACAATCAGTGGAGGTTGCTGAGGGGAGACGGCTCATAATAATGGCTGGAACGGAGTAAATAGAATGGCATCAAACACATGGAAACCATGGAAACCATGTGTTTGATGTATTTGATACCGTTCCACCAATTCCGCTCCAGCCATTACCACAAGCCTGTCCTCCCCAATTACCACAAGCCTGTCCTCCCCACTAACCTCCTGTGAAGCACATGTACTTGTTAGCAATCACATTATATAAGTGCCACCCAAAAGACTGTTGCTAGGTTGACGTAGCAACAGTTACAGGGGAATAATATCCTGTTGCCCCAAGGAACAAAGTCTTAATTAGCTTCATGTCCTTAATCTTTTTTTATTTCCATCATGTCCTATATCGGCCTAAGATCTAATAGACCCAAATCCCCTATTTGGCTAGATAAGTGTTGCACCTCCTGAATGTGCTAAATGGCTGGCCTCCTTGTTCGGGCTGTTGGATTGTACAATAATATCAAGGTTGATTAACAGGGTAAGGGAGGTAAAAGCAAGAAAATGAAATCAAAATGATTTCATCAATATGACACTGATTAGTCAAAGTACTTTTTGTTCCTCTGTCTACACAATATTCTGCCTGAAGGCCATTTTTCATAGTTTATTTGAAAATATAAAAGTATTTTCACAGCTGAAGTGACAAAACAATAAAACGTGTCCAACATTTCACCCCATGAATATTGCCTGTACAAACGGTATATATTTATGCCAAGATCAGAAACCCAATTTTTGTGTGTGTGATCAAATGAAAAACACCACATTTTTAAATCACTCAAACAGATGTGCTATCTGAACAAGCCACCAGGAAGAGTTTTACAACCAAACAAATGGCGGTTGGTTTTGGATCCAGACTGTTTAAGTCCCTACAGACGAAACTGTCTCGTCCGCTGGCTCAGACTGGCTCAGTATTTATAACTCCAAAAATGATTCTCAGTCTTGGCTCCACATTATAAGAGCATGACTTCCTCATATGAGTCAAGACACAGAGTGTTCCACAACCCATTATTACACATGGAGTAGCCAGATCGCCTAATGGGCTACTTTAAAATGTCATACTTTGTGAACGAGACACTCTACTTTGGCCCTGTAATGTCTGAGGGCCAAACTTTCATTTAAGATGTATGAACATTCAACAAACACATTTTTTGCAGGGAACTTTTTGGGGCTGGTTTCCCAGACAGATGAAGCCTATTCCTGGACTAAGAAACCTGCTCAATGGAGATTCTCAGTTGAAAACACTTTTTTAGTCCAGGACTAGGCTTAATCTGTGTCCAGGAAACCGTCTCAATGAAAACAATAATAACTCATGTTGATGCTGTCATAACAGCAACCGCTGCCTCCAATATGGGCCGACCAACAGTGCTAAATTAACTTTTCTTGGAGATTCCCATGCAGGTTACTGCAGGGTCTAATTCTGTATTAAACCTCTCTAATTACATTGCAGCCTCAACATGTTTATATTAATATAATAAAAGCCAAAGAGCTTCTGATCCAGGTAGGTTATACACAATTAATCTGCAATTAATTACATGTGAAAAAGACCCCTTAATCATCTTATGTTGCTCATTTCTGTTCTCCTAAGCTTGTTCTTGGCAGCCCATCAGTCGCCTTCACGGTTTTCTAATAGAATTCTGCTAATAAATAATAAATCCATTGACCGCATAGGAGGTTTAATGCAGATAAATGAGGTTTAACCATGGGTGTACAACAGAGCCAGTACCCAGGGGATCTGCTACTGAAGCGTAGTCAGCTGTCATCAGGCTCAGTCATTACACAACAACACCAGAGAACACAGATACATCCCAGATGGCACCCTATTCCCTATATAGTGCACTATTTCGGAATAGGGTGCCATTTAGGATGCAACCAACGTGTCACTTTTAGCATTAAAGGGCGTTCTGTGGGTGTTTCACAAGGTAATGAAAAAGACACGGACAACAACAACGACAACAACAACAACAACTGATCATGACATTAACAGTCTGTCGTCTACATCGAGCTTTCCTTCTTTAATCTAAAAATGAAGGGAAATTGGATGAAGAGAGTACTAAAAAATTTCCTAATATCCATATCCATATAGCATAACATGAATTTGAACTTGGTTTTATGTTGAGATGAGAAGCTTTGTGATGTCGGTTTAGGTACATTTATACAAAGTTGTATTGTTCCTTACCCCCATCATATCTAGACAGCTAAAATTGGTATTGAGATGAATGTGAATACCATCACCTGTTCAAACTTATAACGCCTTGACCTTTTGTGTGACCTTTGTGTGACCTTGTGACCAATGTGACTTCAAGCAGACACACATAACATCAAACGCTGTTTGGGCGTCTGGGACTGCAAAAGTGATCAATCGTTTATCAAATATCTTGATTGACTTCTAATGTGACCTTGACATTACTGCCATATAGGTCAGATAAGAAACTTGGAACTTTCTTTCCTCAGATGTGGAGTGTTCCACTGATTCCACCTCTAACCCCTGCCAAGCCTGGGTGAAATGACCAATGTTGTGTCACACATGCATCGTGTTGTCAGGTTGAGAAAGTGCAAGCTGAATGTTGAGGGTAGACTATGAGCACAACTCTGGTCAAATCAACAAAGAGCACCATAGACTTTCATCTCCATCTCTTTGTGTAAGCAGTTGTTTTTTCTCTCACATTTAGATAAAGTCTGAGTGATATAACTTAAGTTTGAGGCCAGACATTTGTAGACTGTGTGAGCAATGAAGTATTGAATTAATGAAACATTATTTCATAACTTGGCAGATAGGGCAAAATTAAACTACAACATACTATTTGATGTTTGTTGATGGCACGCTATTACAGTATTGTCCAATAACTTGTTGAATCTGCAGTAAAATGCAAAACCTAACTCCACACAACCACATGGTGGCAGTAAAGTACAACTAACAATGGGATGGATAACTCGGGAATACCCGGTGAATTTACTGGAAGCATCAATAGTCTTCTATTCTAAAGAAATCATGAATCAGATCTGGCACTTCAGAAATAAATATATTTGCTAAACAAGGCTTAAACCATGTGTTGATAAAAAAAAGTATTATAATGGCACTTTCTCACCTGTTGAATCCCTGCTGCTATAAGAATCCACTTTAGCAGCCAGCTCATCACTGGTTAGGAATTTTAAATTCATCGAACCCAGAATTATTCCTTTACTAAAAACAAAATATTTCGCACTCCACAAGTCTCAGGCAATCTTTTTCTAGTTGTCATCTCCTCCGCGAGGACCACTGTCTGGGATTGGGACTGGTGATATTATTAAAGCTCGTGCCTGCTGACGTCAGGTTTTAGGACGAGCCCCACATTTTTCTGGCAGCGCGCTCTGTTTTTTCCCTTTCCTCCACTCTTAACCGCTGCTCCTCACGCGCCAAAGCCCGCACTGAAGTTGAGGTGGCTTGTCTATAAACTGAGCAATGTGCATCCCAGCTATGCAATTGACCAGAGGATACTACAAAGCAGGATCAAGGAGTTAGCCAGTTAACTTACCTAAGTATTCTGAAATAACATAACATATACAGTACCATTCAAAAGTTTGGACACACCTACTCATTCAAGGGTTTTTCTTTATTTTTACTATTTTCTACATTGTAGAATAATAGTGAAGACATCAAAACTATGAAATAACACATATGGAATCATGTAGTAACCAAAAAAGTGTTAAACAAATCAAAATATATTTGAAATCAAAATATATTTTTCAAAGTAGCCACCCTTTGCCTTGATGACAGCTTTGCACACTCTTGGCATTCTCTCAACCAGCTTCACGAGGTAGTCACCTGGAATGCTTTTCCAACAGTCCTGAAGGAGTTCCCACATATGCTGAGCACTTTTCCTTCACTCTGCGGTCCAACTCATCCCAATCCATCTCAATTGGGTTGAAGTCGGGTGATTGTTGAGGCCAGGTCATCTGATGCAGCACTCCATCACTCTCCTTCTTGGTCAAATAGCCCTTACACAGCCTGGAGGTGTGTTTTGGGTCATTGTCCTGTTGAAATACAAATGATAGTCCCACTAAGCCCAAACCAGATGGGATGGCGTATCGCTGCAGAATGCTGTGGTAGCCATGCTGGTTAAGTGTGCCTTGAATTCTAAATAAATCACAGACAGTGTCACCAGCAAAGCACCCCCTCACCTCCTCCTCCATGCTTCACGGTGGGAATCACACATGCGGAGATCATCCATTCACCTACTCTGCATCTCACAAAGACACGGCGGTTGGAACCAAAACTCTCAAAAAAATCAGACCAAAGGACAGATTTCCACCGGTCTAATGTCCATTGCTCGTGTTTCTTGGCCCAAGCAAGTCTCTTCTTCTTATTGGTATCCTTTAGTAGTGGTTTCTTTGCAGCAATTCGACCATGAAGGCCTGATTCACACAGTCTCCTGTGAACAGTTGATCTTGAGATGTGTCTCTTACTTGAACTCTTTGAAGCATTCATTTGGGCTGCAATCTGAGGTGCAGTTAATTGCTGATTTCTGAGGCTGGTAGCTCTAATGAACTTATCGACTGCGGCAGAGGTAACTCTAAGTCTTCCTTCCTGTGGCGGTCCTCATGAGAGCCAGTTTCATCATAGCGCTTGATGGTTTTTGCGACTGCACTTGAAGAAACTTTCAAAGTTCTTGAAATGTTCCGTATTGACTGACCTTTATGTCTTAAAGTAACAATGGACTGTCGTTTCTCTTTGCTTATTTGAGCTGTTGTTGCCGTAATATGGACTTGGTATTTTACCAAATAGGGCTATCTTCTGTATACCAACCCTACCTTGTCACAACAAAACTGATTGGCTCAAATGCATTAAGAAGGACAGATATTCCACAAACTTTTAAGAAGGCACACCTGTTAATTGAAATGCGTTCCAGGTGACTACCTCATGAAGCTGGTTGAGAGAATGCCAAGAGTGTGCAAAGCTGTCATCAAGGCAAAGGGTGGCTATTTGAAGAATATCAAATATAAAATATATTTTGATTTGTTTAACACTTTTTTGGTTACTACGTGATTTTATATATGTTATTTAATAGTTTTGATGTCTTCACTATTATTCTACAATGTAGAAAATGGTAAGAAATAAAGAAAAACCCTTGAATGAGTAGGTGTGTGCAAACCTTTGACTGGTACTGTATATATAATAAACATTTTAAAGAATTTGAAGTTAGAATAGCCTGAACATGTGAAAGTTGGTTTGGTGTCTCTAGCTTGAATGGTTCAAGAGTTGCTGTTGGTGGGTTATTTTATGCTAATTAATATACAGTTGAAGTCGGAAGATTGCATACACCTTAGCCAAATACATTTAAACTCAGTTTTTCACAATTCCTGACATTTAATCCTAGTAAGAATTCCCTGTCTTAGGTCAGTTAGGATCACCACTTTATTTTAAGAATATGAAATGTCAGAATAATATTAGAGAGAATGATTTATTTCAGCTTTTATTTATTTCATCACATTCCCAGTGGGTCAGAAGTTTACAGACACTCAATTAGTATTTGGTAGCATTGCCTTTAAAGTGTTTAACTTGGGTGAAACATTTCGGGTAGCCTTCCACAAGCTTCCCACAATAAGTTGGGTGAATT